CGCCAAGATTGTATACCATGTTATTGTTGATAATTCGCTACCGAAATATTTTACGTCCTATGACGTATATACAAACGGAATATTAAATTATACAAGTATTTTAAATTATAGATCGATTATTTAATAAAACGAATTTAAAACGATTAATATATCACGGAGCTTATCGTTATGTTAATTACTCGGATCTGCAATTAGACTATTTTATTGCGCGTTCTCAATCCGAATCATATTTAGATCGTCGAAAAGTCAAACGAAAAAACATCGGACGAAATATATTTAATTTTAAGCATTTTTAAATAATTGTTACCTCGAGAGTAAAAGAAAGAGAGAGAGAATTAATTATTAATTATATCAAATTATTTCCCGATACTTGTCGCGATCATGTTTAGAAAAGGAATTTGACGTCTCACACTATTATATTACTGTTCGAGTGTCGCCGTGCGAATGATAAAGCCATAAGTCGTAACATGTAAATAATAGCGCGCTAATGTTTACGCCGCCAAGGCCGAATACCATGTTAATAATTCGCAGCTGAAAATATCTTGCGTACTATGACGTATATATATATACAAGCGGAATATTAAATTATACAAATATTTCAAATTATAGATCAATTATTTAATAAACGATTAATATATAACAGAGCTTATCGTTATATTAATTACTCAAACCTGCGGTTCGATTGTTTAATTGCGCGTTCTCAATCTAAATTATATTTAAATAATCAAAAAGTCGTATGATAAAGCATGGGACAAAATATCTTTACTTTAAGTATCGATAGAAAAATAGTTATTGTTCGTAAGGGTCGCAACAAAACGATAATTTATAATTTCGATTTCTGTCACTTTAATTCTTACTTTAAGAAAGATTCTTACTTGTATTTTGGTTGAGAATAATGGTAATGGATTAATGAGATTTTTGCGATTAAAATGATATCAAACACAACATAAATTGGATAATTTTTAATTAAACTAATAATAAAAATTTTGATTACGTATGTAACTAAAAATTATCAGGTTTATGTCATGTCTGGTATCATTTTAATCGCAAAAAATCATTAATCCATTAAAATTATCTTCAAACAGGTAAAATGCAAAATATAAAAGTTTTATTTTATATGGTAATATGACATATATGTATACTCGTGAAATACTATATAATAAAGGAATAAGCCCTTCACATGTAAGAGACTTTGAAACTCTTTAACGATACGTCATTTCGCTTGCTCTTTACTTGTTCTCGCTCTCGCTTTCGATGACATCGGAGACCTTTATTTATCTATAATAATTTATATATAATATTCAAAAATCATACATAATAAAAATTAAAATATTTGTTTTATTTTAGAAAGTAATTTTTTGAAAATAATTTTAATGGATTAATGAGATTTTTAATTAAAATAACATCAAAAACATGATATAATTCGGATAATTTTTACTTAGATAAGGAAAAAAGTATTTTATCTAATTTTTAAATTTATATCTAAATGAAATTTATCCGAATAATGTCGCGTTTTTTATGTCATTTTATTTGCAAAAATCTTATTAATCAAGTAAAATTACGTTTAAAAATATAAGAAACATAAAAATTTTATTACAGTTTTTATATATTCAATAAATGCACTCTTGGACACTATTTCTGCTCCAAAGCACTCCGTTTGGTGGACAAATGAGAGTGAAGAATCTTGTTCTTTGAGCGAGAATAGAGAGAGTATTAAGCAAAACGTATCTATTATTATATTTATTTTCAAAAGACTTATTGTATAGTATTAATTATCTTATCGTTTTATTTATGTTCATATATAAATTATGCTTATATAAATTTATATATAACAGCTTTTAATATGCATCAGTGCGCACTAATCCATCCAACTGAATTTATAATGTAAAAAATTACTTAAATAATATATAATTAATAATAAATTAATAATTAATTATAAAAAGCTATATAAATTAAAAGCATAATAATTTCCTATACAGCACAGATCATTGCAATCATATTGCAGCAACATTGCAATGTTGCAAATTGCAATGCAATATTACAAAGACATTGCAGAAATATAGAGCCACAAAGTACCAGAAAATTTATATTATGTCACATGCGCATATATATATATATAAATATTTTAATAATAATTTATTATCGCTGTCCGTAATATATACTAAAATGGCAAAACATCTCGTTAATAAAATATTAATTAATTCATAATATTTCTCCGCAATTTTGATCCATAATTATGGATCTAGCACACATATGTCAACCGGTTGTTTTACCGTAGCACCGAAAAGTGAATCTTGTCATGTAGTTCAACCGGCTCTAAAATGGATCTAGTTGACGCTACTGTACCAGCTAGAATAAGTGTCTTATGAAAAACGACGGCGTGACCATTCTCATACTTCTCTCTGCTCTCTGCTATAATAAAGTTACCATCAAGTTACTATACTAGTAACATCTGTAATTAACCCGCATGTCATTTTCGATAAAAGCGAAATGCTCCGCTAATATAAACAAAATGGTTTGAAACCGTTCGAGACTTTTGACGAAAACATCCCCGTCGTTATTCTCCTGGTGTATCGTGTATCTATCATCATGTGGAAGTGTCACAAATGCGGAAAACCCGTTTATTTTGGTGAGCTTTTGCAATTTGTACTCGTTGATGGCGATGTGTTCATTTTGACAAGTACCACGCTATTAGCAGTTTGGTGGAGTCGTCGATTTATTTTGTTACGAGACATTGTTTGTATCTTTAAAAAATATCTATATATGTATATATATATAAGCAGTTTGAGTTCTTCATAGTAAGGACTTATATCGAACAAAGAATGAAAAATAAATTTATGAAAAATCTAACTATTATCTGTTGCATTATTTTGATTATTTATAATATTTAAAATCGTCATTTTTGTATTTTTGTACATTATACATTATACAACGAGAATTGGAATTAAAATAACCAGAAATATACTATGTTAATAGTGTATATCTTTGAGAAATAATTTAGATTTAGATATGGCTCAAATGTATATATGTATTAACCTTTAGCTGAACGTAAACAGTCTTTGGGATATGATTGGCATCCAGAATGTTTACGATGCGAGGAATGTGGAAAGCGGTTGAATCCTGGACAACATGCAGAGGTATTGCAGGCAAATCACTTTTTTCACAAATTATAGATTAATACATACAGTTATATATACAAATCGTATAATATAATTACATATATAATGTATGATGTATTATTATGTTAATCAGCATAAAGGTGTACCTTATTGCCATGTTCCTTGTTATGGAGCACTTTTTGGACCTCAATTATTTGGTCATGGCACAAGAGTGGAATCGCATACAAGTTTTGGGAAGAAAGAAAGTAGACCATCATTACCAAGGTGAATATACTTAGAGATTTTGTGCAAATAATATAATAAAATAATTTGATTATTTTCATTGAAAATTCTAATTACCTTATTTATTGTACAATTTTGTATGATTTACTATATTAATATAAAGCTAGAAAAAAAATTTATATTTAGAATAAATTCTTATCTCTCTCTTATGCAAGCATATATAAAAATAACCATTTTTTTCTGAAAAAGATAAACATTTATTTTATTAAAATAATTATTTAAATAATTTTCTAAAGATATATATTTGCTTCAGATCACATTTAGAATCCAAGCTGAAAGTTTTTAACCAGTATTATGAAGGCAAAAGTGGTGGAATTCGAAGCCGTGAGGTAAAAGGATATCTTAAATCAATTGTATTATCAATGATATAAAATTCTGAGTCTTTAAATAAATAACGATTAAAAATAGGTCAATGGAAGATTGATATTAGAAGGTGCATTAAGAATTTATTGGGGAGTTCGTGGTGTAATTCATCTGAAAGAAGATGATGATCAACGCACAGTAGTTACTGCACGAAATAGAAATTCATGCAGACATAGCGTTTCTGAGGTTTGTCATTCCTAATTTGTTATTCCTATTTCAAAATTTGATACATAATAATAACATGATTCGTCCATTGTTTTCAATTGTTTTAAACAGGATATCGAAGATGAAGATAAAGTAGATGAGCTATCCAAGAGTACATCAGATAGTAGTGCGGAGAATAATACAAAGTCTGTTCCAACGTCTCCGGATCATTTAAAGAGTCTCACTTTGCCCATGAAGCTGGATGTCAAAAACATGGAATGGGATGAGCTAGATGAGCTTCTACAGGTTTGTCTTTTAGTGTCCATTGCTTGGTTTACAAAACACAAGTGTAATTATTGAGATTGCAGGTTGAACGAAAAGTTGAAGATGGCAATAAATTGTATCAGACGATGCCTGAAAATCTCCCGTCGATAAGTTCGCAGTCTAGCGTGGATACACCACCGCTTTCGTCCCAGTCGAGTCTCGATCGATCGGACTCTCGCGATAACTCGGAAACGAGCAGTCCTAATCATCAAACTGCTAGCCGAGAGGATAGCAGCATAAATAGCACACCAACGCACAGCATAGGTAGTTCATCCAGTACAGACACACCTGGCTGTAATTTAGGAGCTTCTAATCGAAACGGTACGCTTCGAAGAGTAGAGTACTTTGACAACTTGGAGAAGAATGCTGGCAATAGATCTATCAGCACCGATGACAGCTGGATCGAGAAGGGGTTGAATCGATCGTTGTCCGGTCCCGATTGCTTGCAGAGACACAGAACTGATAGCGATACGGATTCGGTGAATTCCTTGCAGTTCAGAGAGGACGATAATATGACTATGTCTACGGATAGCGGATTAGAGGTATTGCATTGCTATAATTCATTTTATTAGTCTTTCTTTTTTTTAATATATGTGCATTAATCTATTCTAATTACAGCTGGACGGTGTTGTTTTGCGCCGTAAGCAAGGTTCCACCGCGATCAGACGACGTCCGGGCGGCAGACGTCAATCGCGTAATCGATTACGACGTCGTTGCTCAATCAACGGCCATTTTTATAATCGAGAGACCAGTTTCTTCACGCCACCTCATGGTTCGCAAATGTCCGTCTGGGTGACGAGTCTAGTGAACACCCAAGAAGTCATCAATCTTATGTTGGACAAGTACAAAGTCGACGCCAAGTCCGATAACTTTGCGTTATTCGTAGTGCGCGACAATGGTGGTAAGAGACCCGCGTGATTTTCTGGAGAATTGAAATCGATTTATATACGCGATTATATTTATATTTATATTTTCTTTCGCTATGCGCGGTTTGTATTGTTATTCCTAGAACAAAGAAGATTGAGAGACGACGAGTATCCTTTAGAAGTCAGGGTAGTCCTGGGTCCGCACGAGAACGTTGCACGACTCTTTCTGGTTGACAAGTTATCTACACCTGAGATCAGTTCCGATGTTGCGCAGTTTCTTAATTTATCTTTAGCGGAATGCCATGGTATACTACAACGTTATCATTACGAAGAGGAACGTCAGATTCTCCTTCTAAAAGAAAAGTGGGTATATGTAGGCAGCAATCTGTAGGTTTAAGTAGCTATGTAAAAGCTTGCTATATTACACAATTTCAATATTTCAGATATAAGGAAATGCGGAGAAGAATAAAGCAAAGAATGGAAGAGCTAAAAGTCCGATTGTAGATAGAATGATAAAAAACCAAGGTATGCAATTATTTTTATATAAACGCTTAACAAATGTCTTTATAAAATAATATTTACCAAGGATCTATCATTCATACTGCGCAATACGTAATTGCAACAACATGACACAATTTATGGCATTTTAGTTTTATTTGTAGCTTAACAATTCGTTGCATTTTTTTTCGAATCATTTTGAATCTCTATTGCATTTATCTATAGTCATTATATATATATTCATTACAATCTTAATATAAAACTTCTGAGAATTATTTTTTGTGGGATATTTCAGATACATGGAAGAATCGATAGTAAAATATTGTAACAGTTTATAATTTTTTATATTGTAAAATGATAACAATAATAACGAAATTAATTTCTTTGTTAAATCTAGCGTAACAAGTTTTCTTCAAAATAATTCGCCTCCTTCTTTTCCCTCATTTTTAATTTTATCGTCATTACGGACTTACTCGTTTAAATCGTGACACGATTGTAAATTCCGTTACGCGCGCGTATCAAGGATTCGCGAGACATTGTTTTCACGCGTTGTTCCAAGTTCCCTTAATTAATTAATTAGTTAGTTAGCCGAAGAGAGAGCCGGAGGGTCTCGTGGACACGTTCTTCGCTTATGCGCGACAGCGCCCAGCGTCAATGGAAAATTCGTGGACAGATTTCGAGACGGCATACGATTACTCTTGATTCCCCACGCTGTATCGTACTCTGTATCTCTTCTCTCTCACCCTATCTTTCTTCCTTTCTCTTATCTCGACCGCGTAAACGCGCATCATTCCGTCGTCTGCCATTTACACGAATGTGTTCGGTTAATAAGCTAACATGTACTAGCTACAGTAAATCCTAATAATTACGGCTTGTACGACAGACATTTATGTATATATAATATATATATATAATATTTGTGTATGTCGCGCGCGCGTAAATATTATATACAGGGTGAAACAATTAAAACATGCCATCTGAATAATTTGTAAATTATATATTTTATGAAAAATTGCTACATATAAAAGAGTTGCATAATTTCAAGAGGATCATTACATAGTACATCTTTTTTATAAATGGAGGTGTTTAGGAGATTTAAAGGTTTTTAAGCAAAAATCTATTTATATAAAAAAATTAGGTTGGCTCCATTTAAAAAAACTAGATTGATCTCCAAATCTCGAAAACATCTTCACTTATTAAAAAAGTAGATATATTATGTAACAACTCTCTTGAAATTATGCAACTTTTATATGTAACAATTTATGTCATAAAATATATAATTTACAAGTTATTCAGGTGACCTGTTTTAATTGCCTCATCCCGTATATAGAATATTTGTGTATGTATATATATACGTAATATATAATAAAGTTGAAATCTCTAGCAATTCTATATTAAATTTTCATTTCAAATCGAGAATAATATTATGTGACAAATGTAATATGTGAAATGTTATTCCTATAATCTCGATACAGTTTTCCTCGAGTAAAATTAATGAAAAATATAGTAATATTTTTAATTCGTCTTGTAATATAGACGAGGTAAATAGAAATACAAACAATATTAGTATAAAGTAGTTATCGCTTATAAAAATATATAGTAGTAAAGAATTATATTCGACGTTTCTATTTAGCGTGAATGTTATTTGTAATCATGCAGAATTCGTATTCGTCACGATGGATAAAATGTTGCATTTTATAGCAATCTTTCAGCATTCCGATATTCCGGTGGAGTGATAAAAAAACAATGAAAACGTATTTTTCTATCGGTATTTAGAGAAGATTCGTTTATCGAAACATCGAAACGAGAAATTATTATTATCGGAATAAAAATCGATGATAACTGTTAAGAATTTAAAGTCTTTAATCCTTTGCATTTCGTTGCGTGGCCCAGATATAAGTGGACGTTTATATATTCAGTCGAGCACACAATTACTGCCAGATACTCTGATATCGCAATCCGAGACTATTGTTGTGCGAAACAAATTGTAGGGCGCAAAGCAAAGTGCCGTGTAGAGCAATTAATCGTCATAATAATTGTAACGCGTCGCGCGGATCCATGAAAATCGCCGTTTCAAGCTAGTCATGTTTCACGCTTAGTCACCGATATCGATATATATATATATATATATATTACAGTTAGATTGCTCATTGTCAATTCATCGGTTTATCACATTTAGTACAAGTTGAAAAATATCTCTAACATCCACGCGCGGCGACGCGAACTCGTTTATTTGCATGAGTCGCGCGTTCGCGACGCCGCTTTGTATAATGGTTATCGTAATTATACTAATTATTAAATTACAATTAATTATCTAACGGTAGGTAGGTACGACAAACAATTATGGTAGTACGGCCAAGACTTATTAGTTTTCCTCGCGACGTATAAATATTAATAGCATTTAAAGTGTATCTCTATTTACAAAAATACGTCTACTAAAGGATATAATAATCTCCTAGATTGTAAACAGTTTTTGCTAGCAGTAAGAAAAAAAAATGTAATCCTTATGTATATCGATTAACAGAACAGATGATATGATTGCGACGCTAGAATAAGTTCCTCAGTTCGCACGCGTCGATTTTTCTACTACTGATATAAATGAATAGATATAGATAGGCGTATATATTTTTCCGTACGCCAGTTATAGATGAAAATATATACTCGATAATCATGACGTATTGAACGCATTTTGTGCTGAAAAAATAAAATACGAAACTGAAAATAGATATCTAAACATTAAATATTATATTTAAAAGAAAACAATTGTGAGGAGAGATTGAGAAATGAATCATGTAACATCGTTGACAGAATAATAAAATGGTATGGTTGCTTCTTTTATATGTATATCTTCCGTTTTCTTGATCTGAAACAAAAAGAAATTGTTAGAGTGGTTTATGAACAAATCTATATATAGGCATTAATAATTAACCACGAGTGATCGATAATTCTCGTGTGAGAAAATACCCGTTTACCTATCTCCTGATAAATCCCATCTACTGATAAGGGTAATTAAGGGAAGATATGTTGATATGGGGAAAGAATAAAGATATCGATGTAGGCGTAAATGTGAGATTGGACAGAATGTATTTATTTATCTTTAAAGTGTACGTAGAGTAAAGTAGATCAATGCAATTGTTATGAGTAGTATCGAATAGAGTAATTGTTCATACGAGTTGCTAGGAACGAGTATGCATACCCACAACACCGAGGAGCTTCAGCCGCTCATTTTTTTTTCTTATTTTTTTTTCACGACACTGATATACATTAAACGTTACAAGATAGCAATAACGATTATCACCGCGCCAGACGTTCCATCATCATCATCATCATTATCATCATCGTGTTATCATAGTTACCTTACAGTCACAACACTTTATTACACGATTTATGAATCTTTCGGCATCGTGGTAGAGACACCGGATTTTCAACAACAATGTACTACATGCATACAGACGCTCGCACCCTCGCAGATTATCAGAAAGTATCACAAAAGCGCGATGCGCGTAATTACACAACTAACGTAGTCCCGTTGAGATTTGTAGAATTAATTATGATTCGCCGAATTGAATCATTCGCCGAGTCTACATATTTAGAAGTTTCTCTGAAAACTTTTTTTTTTATTTAATTTTTATATTTTGAACTTCTTTAACTTGTATATATATATATAAGATAAAATATAAGTGAAATAGTATAAATTATTATTTCTCAATAATGAAATAAGAAAACATGTGATAAAATGTATTTTTCTGATCAGCCAATTAACATTTTGTTAAATGAATCGATATATGTTTAAAGAGGAAGAACAGTGGTTTTGTCGTTTATTATTGCTGAAGCAGCGGTAGATAGATTTAGTATAGTTGCGACGATTAATTTTGCTGAAAATTCCAAGTGCACATTACGTACTTTTTAAGTACTTTTAATTTTTAAATCTCCCTTTTTGCAATCATATCGATGAAAAAAAGGTTCCGAGTTTTTTTTTAGGCTCGCTATTACACAGATCGAGGCTCTAAACGCTTAACTTTTTCCTTTTTATTTTTTTTATGTATTTTTTCGCTTTAAATCTCTTTAGAATAGACACCGAAGACACCGAGAAAGACTCGAAGGAAGTTTCGAAAAAGGAGATAAAGTCCGTTCGGCTAATTAGGTTCGAAAATGTCTGACTATTATAACGAGTCGAGCTATACTACTGTCTACTATCGCTTTGCATCCTACACACGTGTTAATGTAACGCTTTCATTTTCTTCTTTATTTTCCTCTTTTTTCTGTTTTTTCTTTTTTATCTTTTTCTATAACCTACCTAGTCATTCCGTACGGACGGACCGACGGACGCCGAGGATTGAGCAAACTGTTATTGCACGGAACGCGTGAAAATCGAAACACTCCCGAAATCTACATATATATTGAATATAAATCGAGCTTTTATATGTGTATCCGGTGGAAGTTACGAATTTGTAACGATCGTTTGCGTCGACAGTGATAGTTATTGCGATCGTCCGGCTTGTGTCGAATATTTTGCAGTTTTCGAATTCGTAAAATTTTTAAATAGAATCGAGGACGTCTACAAGCGTGCCAATCTGACACGATTTCGTTTCAAGCGCGTGTTATTTATTAGAAAAAAAAACTTTTACGAATATCCGGCATGATTGCGCGCATTTAATGTCGTAAAAATTCCCGTTTATATACAGCCAGAATAAAACTTGCAGTTTATATAAGGCAGACCGATGGTTAGATTACACGATTAATGATTAGCGAACACGAAACTCATGTGGAGACTCGCGATTTTTTTTAGGATTCTTGCAAAAGAGTCTTTACAAATAATTTTATATATAATTTAATGTGTTGGTTCCTGTGTTTCTTCATTTTTAAAGAGTTATTAAATCGGTGTTTGAGCAATTGAATAAGTGTTTTGTAAAAAATAAGCGTTTTGTACGTGATTTATCATTGATATAATTTATCGTGTTTTGTAAAAAATAAGCGTTTTGTATGTGATTTATCATTGATATAATTTATCGTGAAAAAATGGATGAAAGTTCGAATTAGTTCATTAATATGTTAATTAATGCGTCTCTTCTGCGTATTTTTCGAGACTCGGCGATGATTCGCTTCGATTAGATAACAATAATTAATCGAGACAATAGTGCGAGCAATATTCTATTGACAAGTATATTCCTGACTGTTTTAACGTACAAATGAGAATACAAGGCAGCATTCGTCTCTTTCGTACTGTCCGAACACGGTACGATT